GCTTGGAAGGCTGGGAACAGTAACCATGCTTGTATTCCATTGCGATAGAAATAGTATCCCGGAAATAGAAAACCTGTTTGAATGATAAAATCGGCAAAAATTCCATCACTTTTTCGCGAGTCAAATATCACCCAAAAATATTATACATCGGAATATTGAAACTTGAAAAAACATGAATTCTTCAAGGGGAATTATTTCAAAGAAAAAAGAAGGAAAGAAACGAAAGAGAATAGGGTAATGAAATTGAAGCTCAAAGGGCAGAATGATTTTCGAGACACTTTAGAATCACGAGCATATCGAAAAGCCATTTGCCGCAGACTTCCGGAAGCGCGTGCGGTATTAATCAAACTCTGTCGCGGTTCCATCGAGGCCACCGCGTTACCGGTCACCCTCGTCACCGACCAAAAGCTTTCCTCTTCAATTAGAGTGCCTCCACCGGAATCATTTTCCGCACGCTCGATCCCACAATTTTGCTCTCCCGCTTCTTGAGAGGTCTTTCACCTTTGTAAATGGCGAAAAAATCCATTTCCCATTCTTCGCATCCTCTGATAACGCTTCTGATAGCTCTGAGGAATAGAGATTAGCGCATGGAAATCTCAGATTTTTACTCGAGAAGCTCACATCTTCGCTTCGAATCAACGCCATTTTGGTAATTTTCAGTATTTTGCAAAAAATTTTCTTCACATCCTAGCTACACTATCACTGAATAAAACCTCGTTTGAAATTTTCACTTCGGATGATTTTCCTGATTTTTTCGAATTTTTTACTTCAGATGAAACTTTCCCACCGAGAACTGTTTTTTCATTTACATAGGCCGTGTGAGGGAGCGATTACTGCCAAAGTTACTGTTATTTTGCCACGATTTTTTACGTGTATCTTCTTCGAAGTATGACAATTATATTTTTTCAAGATTCAAGCCGATCGGCTTACTAGTTTCTCCAAAAAAAATTGTCAAAGTTAGCCTATTTTAGCGCGCGGCGGATGTGAAAGGTCCCTTAATTACAACGAAATAAAAACGGGACGAAAATAAAGGTGACGGAGGAAGAAGAAGAAGAAGCAAAGGAAGAAAATAAGTATCTGGCCAAGGTACGTAGGTTGCCCCAGAAGCTCGTTATTTCCGGTGAAAATGTGGAGTCCTCTGGTTCCAGCGTAGTTCCGCTTGCCAAGTCCCGCGGCTAGGACCTGTTTCCGTAAACTTTCTCGCTACTCTTAAGCCTTAATCCTAAATTATTTGCAAAAGGCCGTGCCACTTCCGGACGATCGTTTTTTTCTCGTGGAACGGTAGAGAGAGAGTGGGGAGAAAGGAGGGTCAGAACGATAAATTGAACAGTTGCTTCGCTTAAAAACGGCTTCGGCCACGGTTACCTAAAAGGGCCAATTAGGGGCCTCGGGTCAATTGGAGGCGAAATAAAAATGTCCCAGCTTCGCTCTCTCTCTCTCTCTCTCTCTCTCGAGCTTGTTAAAAACGTTCGAATTTTCCGCTTAAAGTGCTCAGCCAATATCCGCTTTTCCTTCCTGAGACGGGAGGTTTGAAGGAGGCCTTCGCCCCGGATTTTCACTCTGTTATGGATTTAATCTTCCCCCGGATGAATGGTGTAATTTTTAAGCGCCACTTCGTTCGTCCTACCGCCACCGTTCTCACGACTACCGGCTCGGATTATCGAAAGTTTTAAGAATACGAGTTACGGTTTGCTGGCTTGGTTACATTGTGAATTGGTCGCGCGACGAGTTCCTTGTATTTCTTGTAACTTGGCAAATTGAAAGCGGTGCGGAACGGTCAGCTTGTTAATTCCAGGTTTCCTACGTTGAAATAGAACGTTTTCTTCCTTTCTTTTTTTCTTTTTTTTTTTGGAGAAACGATCTTGCAAACGGTGTGCTTGTTGTTTTTTTTCTAGTTTTTCTGTTTAATTTCACTGTGCTGCAACTTTATGAGGGAGCAGTTGCTAACCTCACGACGAAAATTGGCGACCACTGAGACTTTTTTTAGAAAGAGGTAAGCTTGGAGACACTATAAAGTGCAATTTTTCTGATAAATTTTGTTCACTTTTTTTGTTAATTGTTATTAAGAGACTAATTTACGAGAGGCTGAAAAATCGACAATCTTTATGGTTAAAGTCATTTAAAAATTCAAGAAAAATTTAACATAAAGACATTTTACTAATTTTCGTTTAAAAAAACTAAAATATTTTATCCCGCGATTTTACCAACGTATTAATTCACCTTTGACGAAGATACAGAAATTGTTTCACAAGAATCTAATTAGCATCGAAAAAGTTACCGAAGAATCTTGATAATCTCGATCAAACGATAAATAATTATACGAGGTAGAAGCTAATTAGCCTTTTTCCCCCGTCAAACTTTGATTTCCTCGTCAAGCTTCACCGAGCTGTACTCTGTGAAACAGTTTCT